GAGAGAGAGAGAGTGAGAGAGTAAGAGAAAGAGAGCGGACCAGAAAAAGAGTCTTAGTTAAAGGATGTGTCCATTCTGCTCCCTTTTCTCTACTTGTCTCTACTTAGTCTCATCTATTGTTTTGTTGGTCTTCATATCTTTGTTTTTGACCTGCTATCTTTTCTAATACATTTATGGAAATATGAGTTCCCCATCTCTTCTTTCTCTGTATACTATTGTTTACCACTACTTGTCTTTTTTATTCCTTCCATCTTCATACTACTGTTTTGCACTACTACTCCTCTCCTATCTCAAGTCACTTGCAATTTTAAAAAAAATCTTGTCTTTTCTACACCCCTCTGGTTTGATTACTCCTTTCACCTTCTCATTTCATGCCTTACTTCAGTCCAAGTTGCCCTTGTTGGTGAGTTGGCAGAGTGTGTCTATTAGTCTTTAAAAAAGCCACTTGACTTAATAATATTAATTGTGTTTACTGGAAAGCAGCACTGCCTAGTGTATGTATGTATGTATGTAATATGCCCGGGAACTATGCATATAATTGAAAACATACTTAAAAAAACATACTATATCATAAACATAAACACTTTTCTGTCAGACAAAATGTGCTGTCAATAGTCCTTGATGATGATGAAAACAGTGTATCCTGCTGTGGATCCTCTCCAACCTCTCTGTTTTGTTGTGGGGACAGAATTTTTTTTGTACAGTACAGGAATTAGGAGTTGCATGAATTAGAATCCAGCCAGGAAAACAAAAATCAAGTACAATATATCTCTATTTCTTTTTTTTATTATTTGAACAAACACCATTTCACAAATAGTGTTGGCAAGTGTATTTTAGATGTTTCAATTTGAAAAGAGTCTATTGTCTATCATTTCTAGCCTGAAGTGGGAAGCTCTGCATAGAAAAAAATATGATTTATATGATTAACTGAACAGCAATGTGTATAATGTAAAACTAGATTTATAGTGAAGCCTTACAGAAAATGCAGCCAAGGTTTAGTGGCAAATGAGGGTGTCTTTCGGGCACAATCTACGTTTTGTGCCTAGTGAGCAAATGTGTCAGAACTGCAGTCAAATTTGCAGAATATGTGAAACTGTGTATTACCTGTGCATCTGTAAAAGAATATTTAACTTCTTATTTTTATGCATATGTGGTGCCGTGGGTGTGTGCTTAGGTTTAATGTAGGGCTGTTCCCTAATAGTCTCCTAAACAGTCAACAAGAAGAGTCTTGAAGAGTTAAGCTACTTTTCATTAGTTGGATAGTTGCAGAAAGCCTTGTCACAAGGATGAAAGTATCAGGGGACTGTTAGCTGACTGTATCCGTACTGCAAGCTCAAAGTATTAGTAGAGGCTTGTTTGCTGGGAGTAGGAGGTTTTCAGACCCTCGGATAGAGGGGTCGCAATGAGCACCATAGTCAGAGTGGGCAAGAAGGCAAAGGAGCTTAGCAGCCTCCCAGTGACCATGGCCGGGACCGAACACAGCCTCCGGAACCACCAGTTGATTTACAGCAGCTCCAACCAGGACTAAGTCCAGGGACGACAAGGCACGGCGGGTTCAGGCAGGGATAGCGAGTCGTATCAAAAAGTATGTGAGTATTTTTCTTTTGCGAAGTTGGAAGTTATGTATTCCGTGTTTTAAACAATGAGACTTGTATGATGTTATACTGTGATGAAAGTTAACTAAATGTTCAGCCTCCTTGCTGGTTGTTCTGATACGTTCAGATTCATTACTGCTTTTTCCGTTATCATTTAACAGGTGGGCTGTTAAAATATATATATTTAAATAATGAAATCAAACGTTTGGTGACTTGTCAACTCAAGGCTTGATTGTCTACTAAGAAAAACTTCAGTCGGGGTCATCTCTAGTTTAATGTTTATATGGTCTCTATATGTTACCTTTGCCTTTGTAGTACACTGTGTAGCTGAGGTTCCCATTTGGCCTAGGTGGGGCTGTCCAGCGGGCTCGGATTGATCGAGCGCTCTGATTGGTTAGTTCCAGCAGTATAGGGCCCTCTGGGGCCATCTCTGATGTACGCATCTCCACCTGATTTAAAAAGAGAAAAAGAAAATACACACTTGCATACTTATGTTGAAATGCACAGATACACACAGACAGACACAGGCACTGTAGCACGTGCACGTACAAACCACGCACAGTATTTTACTCTTTTTACTGTAATTCTACTCTCTCATAAAAAACATAATAAAATCTGACCCATAATTTTATAATCATGGCTACCAGTTTTCTATCTTCTTTCTTTTATCTCCTTGCTCTCTCTTTCTCTCTCCTGCCACATTCCCCTCATCTTTTCTCTCAATTCAATCTTCTCCTTCTCTTTCCACTATCACCACGCTCTCTTCTTCAGTCTCATTTCCTCCTGTCTCATTCTCCTGTTACTTTCTCCTCTGCTGCTGTTCACATCCTCACTTTCAACCTCATCTCTCACTTTCCTCTGACCATTTACTCTATACCCAGCATTTCACTCTTTTATCCCTAAACTCCCTCCTTCCCCGACTCCTTTCTTCTCCTTTTCCCGTCCATCCTGTCATCTCCTCCTCTTCCCCCCTTCATCCTGTCCTTACCCCTCCCCTTCCCACTTTCCTCTCCTCCTGTTCCGCTGTGTCAGCTGTTCTCCTGGTGTTTGACTAAACATGGCGTCCGTATTGGAAAAATGCCCCAAAATATGGCCTGTCGTCAGAGACATCGTTGAGCGTGGAGTGGCATTTCCTACCAAATGTCACTGTCGCCACGCCAACCTAGGTTATTGAGCTGAGAGAATCGATCACCTTTATGACGCCCAGTGACACACACGCACACAACCCACATCAATTTGCAAATGTCTGAGTAGGCATGTTTTTGTGTGTTGGTTAGTTACAACAATAATCTGCATTATAAATAGTCAGTTTTGCTGTTTTGTTTCACCAACTAATATGATATAATTCATCCAATAGAGAATTTTATGAAGATTTATAGATCTAAGTGCCTGAGAAGTAAGCTCAGAAGTACAGAAAAAAGAAGAGTTCTTACAGAAATTTCAAGGATTTTCAAGGACTACTATTTCCAACACTGCAACACCACAACAAGGACTTGTATGCCTAGCTTCAAAGATCTCACAAAGGATCTTGCAGTTACTTGTATTAATTAATAAATGAATCAGTGACATTTACTGACCATTGGTCCCTTGCCACAGCCCCGTGCTGTGCAGGCCTGCAGCCTGAGTATGTGTCGGCTCCATGGAGAGAGTCCCTCCACCACAAAGAACCTCTGAGAGTAACTGGAGTTTAAAATGAGAACTCCATCCAGCCAGAGACCATAGCTGGTTATGATTCCTGTCAAAAGAACATATCAGATTATGACCTGTATGAGATAAACAGAACAGAACAAAAATAAAAATGACAAACTACTGTCTGACATCTTAGCCAGGCCAATAAAGTTTACATGAGTAGTTCTGTACAGCACATAATTAGTTTTGTATGTTAACAATGTGTTGCTTTCATTCTCTGCCCTGGACTCCCTCTTTCACTACTACATTCAAAACACATAACCTTGACTCAAATGTCTAACTATGTAAACTTATTATTATCTATATATTTTAAGATGATGTCCACACTTTTGATACATTTTTTTAAATCCATTCATTTAAACATGGTGTGACAGTATGACAACACATATCTTTTGCATCGTTACTTCAAAGTGTGTTACACATTGTTTTGGGAATAAGTTTCAGAATTTGTTTTATAAGATGTCCACATAGATTTTTTTCTGATGCTTTTCGGGCACTGTTGGCATTGGTCACTCATACACTGCACAACTTTGTTCAGACTATGAGGAATTCTAATCACAAAGTGAGCTTTGCTATGTTGGGATGCAGTCTGGGTCATTGGATTACAATGCAAATGAAAACTGACTTAGGGGCTCCAGACCTGCCAGTCAGTGTGTCCTAGTGTGATACAATGATGAAAACAGCACTGAAACGACAAATGTAACCATAGGCGTTACGAGGATAAAGGCCCTCAGAAGGACAGTAGTACTAGAGCGAACACGCACGCACGCACACACACACACACAAAAACGTGGGTGCAAATAGGTGCGCACACACAAACTCATACACATGTCCATACACACACACACACACATACACACACAGGGACAATTACATTACATTACATCCACCTAATAAAAAAATGAAACAGTACGGTGCCAAATGTGCTTTTCCTTAATAAAAATGCATACAGGGGCTCAAAAGATCAGTGCTAAGAACTAAGAGTCTATTCTGCTTTAATCATGTGTGGGTTTTATTATTGCTCAATACAGATATACACACCTATCAGGGAAATGAAGACACAAAAACCCCACGGACGCCAACTACATCTGGGAAGCTCTTAATGTGGCCAATCACATGCATGTGAGAGTGTGTGTGTGTGTCTATGAGTGTGGACATCTCTCTGTGCTTGTGTGTATGAATAAGCCCATATCAGTATAGGTTGTAATAAAGACAGGTTGGGAAATGAAGCAGCGAATGCATAACAGGCTTATTTCCCCTCTTTGTCTGCGTGTTGCCCCGACCTAATCCCCGAGAGGATTATCCCCCACAAATCCCTGCGGAATTGGGGAGAAGGGGAGGAGAGAGAGACACAGAATCTCACTCCTCTGGAACCCATCACCATCATCATCGTCATTGTTGCCGTCCATTTATGAAAAAAAGAGTAAATGGGGAAAAAAAGGCACTGAGCTCTTCTCCCCTTTTAAGCAAAAATTAAAGCTTTATAAGCATGAGATAATCGGGTAATCATGATTAAGTGTCTCCTTGTTATGAATTTCTGTCATCAGATGAGAAAAGCTTTAAGTAATTTATCCAGGCTAATATGCACACACATCACAGGGTTTATGGTGCGAAATGCACTCATGTGGCATTAAGCGTAAAACACACATGATTCACATTACACACACACGCATTATGGAATTGCACATACTTTAACGAGCATGGCAGTAACATTTGATAATATGTGGCAGTGCGTTGTATGTTAGAGACTGTGAAATGGGGTGGGAAATCCTCAGATAGTTAATATTACTCTATTCATCTGGTTTCATAAGATGTGCTTTTGGTTAATATAGTCTTGATAATTTATGTTAGTGTTTGATTTGTAAGAAAATAACATATTTTCACTATACTATGTGGTAGATTATGTTACTTGAAACTATTTTTACTTATTTGACGGCGTACCTAGATGAAATATGTTCCTTTAAGACACAAGAAAATCGGATTGCTTGATGTATGTGCTATGTGATGACCCTTTATACAGAGTATAAGATTTCATTGCCTTTTTTGGAGTTTTTGGAGTTTTTGAGGCATTTTTGTGGCTTTATTACAAGCAGTGGGGTGATGACAAGAAATCCTAATCCTTACCTGGCCGGTGGTGTTACAGTTCACGGTCGATGGGAACTATGGGGGTGCCCAATAAGTTTCATTACCTTTTGAAGGTGTTTTTAAAAATATGTACTTTGTCCTTACATTTCATAAAGATTTTTTATGAGTTTTTTTAGAGTAAGCAGTACTGTTTTAGACTATTTGCAATATTGAATAGTTTTGTTAGTATATTATGTAGCTAAAAAAAATTGTTCATGCACTCTAATTCCAAAACTTTATGCAGGAAGGTCTTCTGTCAAAACCTTTGAATCTCTTTATTCAAAAACATCTGCCCACAGAAAATAGTAATAATAACTTTTTTTTATCCAGATCCATCCAATATATTCGAAATACATCTTGGTCCAGTAAATTAGATGGAGGTAAGAATAATAGAGAACACCTAGAGAGAGAAAGGTAGTCACTGTGAGTCTATGTGCTTCCAGCCTGCAGTTCTCTATTCAGTCAAAAGGGAGCACTTTTCATCCACTTAAAGGAGCTTGGTGAAGCACTGCCCTCTCACTCCCGGTCTCCGTTAGTCTCTGTCTCAAATTGTATGTTCTCTCCCCCGTCTTTGTCTCTTTCCCCTTTGGTTTCTCTTCCTGTTTTGCTTTTCTCCAACTGTTTTAGCTCTATCTCTTGCATACTCATCTGATTCCCTGTGCAACGGTATAGGTCTTCATGGTCCTTGGTGATAGACTGGGTTATGGTAAATACTGACACCTTGTATTCAATTCCACAGTCCAACTAATGTCACATGTTGTTATCATCATGATTCTTGTTAATATTTCTCCTTTTATACATGTTTTATCTCACTAGTTTCCAATCACTGTTTCCATTAAAACATATTTTAAAAATATTGTCACGTGGATGATTGAAGGCTTGTGTGTGTTTGCGTTTATTTAGTTCAAATTTGACCTTATTCTAAATGTCACTGTTGATAAATGTTTATGTGTGTTTGAATATTTTCAATCTCTCTGTATGTGCCAGGTTGAGCGTGTCTCCTCTCACCATTCGGAGTGTCAAGAGGTGTCCAGCTGACGTTGAGTGCATGCGGGGACAAAGGGGTGACCAGCGGTGCAGGGACATTCTCTGGGGTGCTCTCCTCAGTCTGAGCCTGGCTGGGAGGGCTTAAGGTACACCCACCTCCTGTGCAGGCCTGACATAACCACACACACCAACTCATTAATGTATGGATGAATGTGACGATGCAAATCAAAAAGATGAAAGAGTAGGGGACTCACAGCGACTGTGATGGTGTAAGCTGTTCCAGGGGTTAGGTTGCGGAGTGTGTGGTCTTCAAAAAGTTCTGAGCTGTTATAGGCCAGCACGGGCTCTGCGCCGTCATGTGACAGGAAGATGGAATAGAATTCCAAAGCACCGTTGACTTGAGAGGGACGTGACCACCTGTGAGGGAGAGAACAATCAAAACACGTTTACTATGGTACTATACTGTAAGTTCAGATTTCAGGTACCAGAACACTTCTTTAATGTCCTATTTTCTCATACCTTTTTGTCCTTTACTGGATTTCAGAGGATTTTACTTATTATTCAGCTATATTTATATATTCATCAAAGAGTGGTATTGTCAATTGAATTTGCAGATTCAACATTTTCAAATTTAAACTAGGAATTTAAAGAGGAAGCCTCTTTACCATGAAACTCTATTGAAGTTATTACATTGGCGTTACACTGCACAGGTATTTATTGTGCAACAGCACCATTAAGAATCTTAACATAAGATTGTGAGAGAGTATCTGTGGGCTTCCCTGGCAGTGCTTTTGTTCTATGACTGCACCAGAGTGCTGTGTTTGTGTATCTGTGTGTGTGAGTGCACATGTGTGTGTCTTTCTCATTGTGTCTCCAACTGCAAGTAGATTGAAACACAATGCTGAGAGCTGAGGTTTCTTACACACACAGTTTCCTTTGTATGGCAGAGGTGTCTCCTTTTCTATATTTAGAACAGAAAGGTCATCCCCAACAGAGAGAGAGAAGGAGAGGATAAGAGTAAGTATTTATAAATAGAAACATGATAGATAGATAGATAACTAGAGTGAGTGCTGTATAGGATGTGACTTCCAGTAGCCAAGTAAGCCCGTAGAAATCCCCGAGTTAGCACTGTTTAGATTTAGAATGAGATGTAAGATTGTTCATTAGATTGTAGATAGATTGCAGTCAGTTGATTATCCATTACAAAATGTGAAAGAGAGGGCACTATGGGCCTAATGTCAGCTACACAAATTATATTGTAAATAACCTAAATAATTAATTAATGCTAAATTATTGTTGTAGTTTTGTTTTTACTATGTATTTTAATAAGTGATTTGTAATTAATTGAATGCGACTTCATGGTCTTTTTAAATGCAACGTACTTTGTGCCTGTTGAAGCTTCAACTTTTTATAATAATATGTTTATTATTATTAGCTATGAAAAAGTTGGGCAGTTGTTGAAAAAGCTGAGGTAAATGTTCCTAAAATACAGTGCTGTAGAAATATTGTTTTGAAACAGGGATGTGTGTTTTATAAATGACGGCCCACTCCACAATCCATCACTTCCTAAAAAATCCAAAGTATCTGATAATATTATGAGAATAAAACAGAAAGTAAACAATTACTAAATAAAAGAGCACTAAAACGTGTTTTATAAATAGTTCTGCCATTCGTACAAATCCCTGAGAGTAACCAAGCCCTCCTGGCATGGTAGCAGAGGGAGGCCATTTTAAAAAGTGATGGATTCCTTTCTTGGTTCCTCCCATTAAAAGCCAGTTTTTGAATGACTGATGAGTGTGTGTTAGCACACAATTAGCCACTGTGGCTAATCTATCACATTTATTATAAGATTTATATGCTGTCGATTGGCAGTGTGATGTATGTCCACTTTTGAAAAACTAAATCAAAGGGGAGTTGTAATAATCTGTATCATAATTCACTGCGGTAATGGTTTTAGAAAACCATTGGTTTTAAAAGTGTGTTATGAAATTAGTGTGAAACAGATGGGTGCTTTCTTAGCACCTTAAATTGAAAACCATGCACTACAGATGCATTAGGTTCAAATTCTGCATCACAGTCTAATAAGTGTCAACCTTGGTCCTGCACCTTCCCTCTCTCCCATCTTCCCTCCGGTTGTCTACATTGCACACTCAACAAAACAGCATTGGTGCCATCAAATAATTAGTAACAACACATACAAGTATTGTAAATAAAAAAATAAAAAATGAGAAAAAAAACTCAGATAGGATTGTTTTAGTTAAATGTCATGTGTCCCATCAGGTCTTCTATGTATTTGTAATTGTGTACATGTCTGATAGTGTGAGTATTTTTGCAGCTGTGTTTGCTTGTGTGTGTGTGTTTGTGTCAGGTAGTGTTAGGTGAGGTCAGGGAATAGATCTGCTGATATTGTTTTGTTGGCATCCTGCAGCCTCCCTCAACCTTTCTCACAGTCTCTCACCCTCACCCTGTCTCTCTCTCTCACACACACACGCGCACTCACACATACAACCTTGCGTGCACACACACACTATTTTGCTTTCTTTTTAAACCCCTTCCCTCTGTTCTTTCCTTAAAAACATTTTTTCCGCCCCTCTTTTATCCTTCTTTCTTCACATTTTTCCACAGCTTTTCCTCTTTCTTTCTCAGCCTTTCTCACAGACACAATAGAGATATTGACCAAGTATGATCTCTCAACCTCTGCCTATTACCGATGTGCTAACAAGGCAATACGCAGCCTTCCCACACCTAGTGAATATATAGGTGAAAAACATTTTAAAGACTCAGGGTTTGATACATATCCCTGTTCTGCCGACAGCAGTACTCTCATGGATGATGTATTACACCCAGCAATTTTTGTTTCATGTTGTCAACTGTCTACAGACTACAGATAAAAAACTTGAGCTTGTCTACTTTGTATTGAATTACAGGCCTCATTCATAAATTAAATGATGAAATGATTTGTCAATATGTTTTTATTTTCAAATATTCTGGGTAAGAAGAACATTTACATGTGGTCAGAAACACTGATAAACTGATATAATAAATCCAAAATATGTTTTGTGGCTCCATGGAAACACAACTGACTCTTGGTAAATACAAAATATAACCTATTCCAATAAAGTTACTATTTAAAAAAAACTTTTTCCTACTGTTCCAATTTCCTCCATTGACAGCTTGCATCCCTTTAACACATATTCCATTTTGGATCGATCCTGATGTCAGATAAACATAAATAAATCAGTGGCCTGTGCACGTTTTGTGAATCACACATGGGGTTATTTTCAATTTTCTCTTTTGAAATTATTCTGAACAAATTTAAGAGGAGGAAAAGTCCTTGAGGCACAATGAGTCAGTGCCTCTTTTTATCACTAAATCACTCCTACAGTACATTCAGGTAGATATGCTTGTGTGTATGTGTAAATGTGCACTGCTTATCCAAGACAATCAAAGCATTACCCAGATCATCCCATCTTAACCATAACCTCACCATTTTTCTCTCACTGTGTGCTTTTTTATCACTCTTTCTTGATCCTCTTACCTACCTCATCTATTGTTTAAGAGTGTGTGGACATGCCTGTTGGTGTGTGTGTGTGCGCGTGCACGTATGAGTGGCACTGTGCCCTCCTGTGGTGAGTCCCACTGTAAGTGACAGTCAGGACACTAATGGCTTTCACACAGATTGACTCTTATGTACAAACACACACACACACAAACCAGGAATATTTGCAAAGATCTATCTTCCTCTGTCCCCTCCCTCTAGAGGTGAAAGGTCAAGTGCAGAAGAATATTCTGCATGGTAAACACAACTGCAGAAGGTCACTGGCTCTCACTTGCTCCCTTCCTCTCTCTCTGTATTTTACACAAACACAACATAAGAAATACATATGAAAAGCTATAATATACACTGAATTACTTTTATTGTTACCCTGTCCTTTTCAGTGATGCTAAAACAGTGAATACTCACTTGCATTTGTGAGTTAATGCTTTGTTAAAATCAGAATCGGAATCGGAAATACCTTATTGAAATTTGTTTGTTAAACTTGCTGAGGGTGCTCACACGGTGTTAAAGAGTAGAAATACTATTAAAACAACAACAACAACAAC